GATAGAAGTCAGAATTCAAATGGAAAATTACTGTAGGAAGCTGCCATGTTTTTAAACTCCTGAGGATTTTTAAGTGGGACTAAAAAACCTTGTTCCATTGTTGACCGCATGGAAAATACTAAACTCCTTTTAAGCACGCCGCGGAGGAGATGAGTCAGATAGATTTCCATCTTTTGCTTATGAGATACTGTGATTCAAATCCTATGCCTGTTGCAGCGTAATTCTGCATTTTCCCCTTAACCTTGTTTGTTGCCCTGAGAATATTCATTATGAACCGTTGTCGTTGCAGAGATTGTGGCGGCTTTAGCTCATCTTGACTGATGTCCTTGACTTCCGAGTATAAATAGAAAAATACAGATAGGTGACAAGGATTGATTAGCAATCCTCCTTCTAAGTGAAACTGTAAAGCTATCTAGATAAATCACTAGCTCGAAAGCCTGGAGAAGGCTCGGTAAAAGAAATAAGGGGTGGGCGTGCACCCGTGTGGGTATTTTCAAAGTGGACGTTTCTAGAAGAACTATAAGGACACAGAGATTGTATCTGGCCCATTTAACTATCCTTCAATTTTCTTTTCTTAAAAAAAATAGGCTTGTAGGTTTTAATAAGCGAAGGAATGATTATTCACTTTCTTTTTTTTAAGGGTTTTTTTTTTTTTTAAGGTAAAAGGAAACTAAGACCAACATTAATTACTGTCTTTTCAAGTCAGTGTGCATGCATGCATGGGTGTGTGTTTTTTGCTTTGTTATTATTTGACTTTAATTGTAGGGTTGGAAATGCTGATGAGAATATCACCTGGTCCCTTCTCTGACCTTTTAAGCCATTGCAGGCAGGTGAAAAAATATTTTATTAGTGTTTACTCTGCGTCAGGCCGCGTTCTAAGAACTTGATATATATTAACTCGTTCAACTCTGATATATAACCAAAGAGATAGGTCTGGCGTCATCCCCACACACTGCACAGGGGAACTGAGATACCTGGAGTTGGGCAGTTCATCCCACAGAGAATGGGTCTGGAACTGGAGCCCAGCTGTCAGGTCTGCTCTCAGCATCATATTGGCACTGCCTCTTGGCCTCTCCTCCATTCTTTCTCGAATTTTTAGTTCCTAGAGTTAATTTTTCACTCTTGTTTCTCTGTCCCTAGCGTGGTTTCCTCAGCTCATAGTTTAAGGCTCCTCTTTTGGCTTTTCTTTTCTTTGTTCCCTCTCTGAGCCTGATGACAAGAGCACGTCACCTTTCTTCCCATGGGTCCCTGTTCCTTTGCTCTCGTACTCTCTTCCTGTGTGAGACTCTCACCCTCAAGCCATCGCTGAGTCCTTAGGTTTGTTACATCAGAACTAAACCCTGCAGTGACGGTGCTGATCGGTTCTGAGTGAGCTGTACTAACAGCGAAACCACCTTATGGTTTCACGTATCTCCTCCATTGCTCTTTACCGCGTATTTTTCCTACTGTACTTGCAGAAACACAGTCTTCTTGCTTTAGAGCTTCCTGTTAATCATGCCTTTCTATGTATTATGACTATGTCCCAGATTTCTCAAGACCTTTGGACTTGACCATGATTTACAAGCATGCTTGCCTTCGTGTGGACATGGCTGTAGGATTTATTCAGATTATTTGTGGAAGTTTGTAGCTGTGTATCTTAGGATCTCCTGGCTCTAGAGGTGCCCTGCTACTGACATGCGGAATGTGCAAATTCCTGCGAGTGTTAACTGTCCCATTGAGCAGAAAGCTGGTCCTGTGATTCAGTTTGCTAAATGGGTCCTTCGAACCTGCTGTTGGCACTTTATCTTACTGCCTGAATCCCAGAAAAGAGAATAAAGAATGGAACACCATCGCCCACCACCCCTATACCCAGCACCCCTCACCTGTATGCTTCACACTCCCTCTTTATGGGAGAGACCCCCAATTTTCATCAAAGATGAAATCAGGATGATGAGTTTTCTGTTTCCTATGCCCAAAGTAATCATTACCTGACGCTGGTACCACACGGCATTTGGGTTTAGTAATTACTGCTGTATTTTATTAAGTAAAGAAGTCCACAGGACTTCCTTTTGTACATTCGGTTTTCTCCTGTGTGTTTAACCTGACAAATAATGTTGAATCTTTAGGTCTGAAGTCATGAGGATGGGTGACAAGCAGTCCCATTTGTGTATGCCTTCTTCACTGCTGCTGCTGTTGTTGTTTATTTTTATTATTATTGGTGTTGTGAGACTGGACTTGTTTTCCTTCCGTGGTCCTTACCTCCATCTGGGAGCTCTCTAGACTCTCGACCTTCTGCTGCAGCTTCAGCTCAACTCACTGTTGTTGCCTTTGGAAGGGAGGCACCTGCTAGCTGAGATCCAGCCTGCGACGTGTACCATTAGTGTACTCAGGCTCCCTGTTAATGGGTGTGTGCATGTTCCTGCCACTCTCCACCAGACCTTGAGAACTTCAGCCAGTGCTCCACGGCGTGAGGGAGCTGTGTTTCCTTCTAGCCGGGAGCCGTCAGTCTGCCAGCATCCTATTCCTGCCTCTCTGCTGTCATGATAGCTTTGCAGTTCATCATGTGTCCCCCGTGTGTCTCTGCACCTGACTGAGATTCTCAAAGATCGGGTACACATTTCAGGGCTTGGCTTGATGAGGTTTTATACTGCTGATCTTATGTTTTTCCGGCCTCATTCCAAATATCTTTCAAGAAGCTGCTTTCAGTAGGCTTTTAGAAATCGGTGTTTATATACCCTATAGGGTATATAAACATGATTTCTCAGCAACACACTTGCAACCAAGCTTCTCAGACCATCAGTACTGTTAACCCAGTATCACTCCTTGGTTCAGGTACACAGGAGGGACTCAGTAAGTTTGGAGTTGTATTGAATTCCCTCACACTAACAGTGCCGGAGAATGGGTCATCGGTGAAGAGAATAGGGACCCTGGTGAAAGAAGGGAGTGGGATTATTGCAGTGGCTAGCCGAGGATGACGGGAAGGATGAGATTGGGGCAGGCTTGCGCCATGTACCACGCCAGTGTGGGTACTTGCAGGCATCGTAGCAGTGTCTGCTGTCCAGCAATGATAGCAGGACTAGGGTAGAGCCAAGGTCTGTGGCAGTAGTGGGCGAACCCTGGAAGTGGAAGGTGTCACGATGAGAAATGCAGTGTGAGGAGAAGGTGGGTGACCGAGGGGATGGTGACCATGTTGGGAGAAGTTCAACCACAGCTGGTCACTCGCAGCTGTGACAAGGGCAGGAGGGGAGGCAGGAACTTCCTCAGCAGCAAAGGGTCATAGCAGAGGTGCAGGAGGGGAGTTGCAGGACCAGCAGATGGAGTGCAGTACTGCTTATATTGCTGCACTCCCACAGAGTTGATCTCGATCGCTGTGTTAAAACTCATGCTGGGTGGAGGTGTGTGCGTGTGTGCCCAGGTTCCCAAGAGGAGAATGGAGGAGAAGGGACCGTGGCCTGGCCATCCCCATGAGAGGATAATTTCTCGCTTTCTGTCTCTCTTTTTGGTGAGCATACATGCCCTATTGCAAAAAGCACTCTCTAAAAAAAAAAAGAAAGAAAGAAAAGAAAAAGAGGGGAGTTGCAGGGACCATGACAACTTCGGCAGCAGTGGTAGTGTTGGGGCAGTGTCATGCATTGTCCCTGGTCAGCTGGTGATTGATGATGAAACCTGGTAGCCATGGGGAGCTTTGGGCTGGTGAGAGAGGAATAGCAGGTTTGCATTAGCTTTCCAGGGAATGAGATCACGTGACCATAATGCTGAGCAAACAGTATTCAAAGGGTACACCAGAAATGCAGTGTATTTCCTCCTCCTCGCCCCTCATTGCCTCTTCAAACCTCTTTGTGGAGCTGAGTATTCTGTTCCTAGATGCAATCTAAGACAGACTTGATTGCTCCTTTGGCTTCTCTTGGATTTAAAACAGTAAAACAAAACTTTTAATAACTTGTATTCATAAACACAGTCGCAGATCAGTAATTATGTCTGATATAGTCCAGTGTGATAATGCGCATATATTTTAAAGGCTTATTTATTGCTTCCATGAGAGAGATAGAAAAAGAGAGGGAGGTAGGGTGTTTACACCACAGCCCATCCCCAGTCTCATGGCAGGCAGGCCCAGGAAGGTCCCAGGATGCAAACCCAGCACCTTGACCAGGTGGCGCTA